GCTCCGGGGTCGCCCCCTCCATCCCCGGCTTTCACCGAGGGGCCTCTCAACTTGGCAGCAGTTAATTTTGCAACAAGAAAGCAGCGCCGGCCTGTTGCTTGCAAGGGTGGGCTGAAGAGCCCGTTGCGCTGCCTCAGGCCCGGAGGAAGACCTGGGGCTTTTGAAATCAGCATCTGCCTCGGGCCCCGCTGAGCAACGACCACGAAGGCCGAGGACGAGCCAGAAACCAGCGGGGAAAGAGCCCGCGCTAGGCTGAGCTCAAAGCGGCTCCCTCGGAGAGGGCACATCTTCAAAGAGCCCCCTCCCGCCGCATCCCGCGCGCTAGGACGCCGTCCCAGGTGCAGTCATTTGTTTGCCTTGCGCAGAACAAGCCGCTCAGGCAACGCCAAGGCGACCGTAGCGCCGGCTCCCCGCCGCCCTCGCTGCATCGCCAGACAAACCACCTACCTCCGGAAAGCGCTGGGACAAACCGCAGCCAACCCAGGCGCTGCTAACAGGATGAACTTATTCCTGCGGCGATCTGGCTGAGTAACTCGCAGAGGTGCAACCCCCCCGCCCCAGGGGTCTTTCGGAAGCAACCGAGGGCGCAGTAAAGTGTGGCAGTCCCAGGTCACCCGGCGCTTGCTCCGAACTGAGCAAGGGCCGGGTGGTGGCAACGGCACGGCTGGGACACTGCCACCAGGCAGATGCATTGCGTTGGGCTCTGCTGTTGCCACGGGGTTCGGCTAAGAGCAAACTGGCAAGCTGTCCTGTGCCAGGCTGGCACATGCAAGGTTTACTGCCGCACACGGGGAGCCCCGGAGTTACTCTTTCAACGTTTGCCCTCGGAGAAGCATTAATACTCTTTTAGAAGCCTGCCCTGGAAAACGCAGCGCAACAAGGAGACTTTGAAGGGAGGCTAGCGGAGCATGCCCCCAGCTCCATCGCTTCACCAAAAGGGCTGCGAGATTTTCCTATAACGCTCAGCCCCCTAGGAACAAGCTCTCCACCGCTGGCTTGACAGCCTGGGGAGGGCAGGGGAAGAGAAGTGTACTAAGATTTAAAAGTATACATAATTACTTAGCACTATCTATGACCAGAAAAACCCATCCTTTAGACTAGAAGGAAAAGAAAAAACTAAGTTCCAATCCCAAATAATAGTACTGAGTTTCACTCCGTGATGTGAGGACCACCCCCTGTGACTGATACGGGTGCTTTTCGGCAGAGGGAATATCACTAGCGTTTCCAGTATCACAGCGAGACTCAGGAAAACGCATCCCAGCATGCTGGTGCTGAGTAAACAGGTGACAAAACGGTGGTCCCCACCTCAAAGAGCGGCTTCGGTTTCTTCTCTCCTACCACACACCCTTTCTACTTATACTCGACCAGGAAGGTTTTATGAGTAAAAAAGCTAAATCCCACAAACCAGGGTCTCGTGGCTTCCTGCAGCAGCCGTAAGAGCTCTGGAGGGAACCTGTACGACGCAGCATTTGCTGACACCCTGGCAGTGACACTCACCATTGCGAGGATTTCGCCCTCGACCTGGACGAGTTCTGCATACTTCCCATGAGTGATATTCGGTTTCAGGGGAACCTGGCCAATAAATATTCTTACTAAAAAGAGAGAGTAAGACGAGTTAGTTGGAACATGCGCCTCCCTACCACGCCTAGCTGAGATTTTTTAAGTCTCATATAAGACACTGTCTGAACGGAAAACTCCTGCAGGCAGTAGACAGAAAGCTCAAGTCCGAAAGCTATCGTACCCATAAAGCAAAGACTCTGTGGAATTTTTCCCAAGAGTTTCTGCGTTATTCCCACAACGCCAGTCAAATTCCAGAGCTCGATGCTGCTAAATGATCAGCATTTCACCACAGAGTTCATACGTTTCTATGAACCAGAGCTATCTCAGCAACACAGACTAATTTACGGGGAAGAACCAGCAGAGAGAGCTGGATAAATTTATTAACAAGACAGTTTCTGGTACTAAAGCTACACATAATACTTTTAGGTAAATGTGCCAAATGTTTTCCCCCTCCCTCAGGTGGAAGAAAAGCAAATCAGCAAGTCGGAATAAAGCACTATAAAAAGGACATTTTCATTTCTAAACTGCTGGACAGAATGAGCAACAACTTTTGAAAGGAGGTCCAAAAGATGTATTTTTCCATGTTTAGATTCATATTTGATTCATGGCAGCAGAATGCAATAATCTAAGTTGTCCAGACTTGGAGAGATAATATGCCTAAATCTTCTATTAAATGTCATGAGATGCTCAGTGGAAATGAGAACTCGGAGCTCCAGTTTTAGGTTCTACCAGAAAAACAAATATAATTGCAGATAACATTATAAAGCTTCTAATTCCTTCCCATTTTTTCCCATCCACAGAGCCTATCTTCACCACAAATCGCATATCAGACAGCTGCAGTATAACAACTCCTGTTAAAAATGGGACAAGAATCACCTTCACGGTATGTATATGATCTGTCCACATCCCAGTCTGAGATATAATCAAAACAACTCTCTAAGGTAGAAGCTGACACATTTCACCACGAGGAAATGTTTCAAAATGCCCTTCAGGGACACCTCAGTTATGTTCCCTTAGCAAAATTTCCATGACACTAATCTTCTCTGATTAAGGGTCAGAATAAACGCTACCAAGACAAATTCCCCCTCACAATGGGACACTGTAAGTCATTGAGATTTGGAGTCCTTTAATTTAAAGGAAGGAGTTAGAACCTGAGTCCCAAATAATAAGTATGCTGCATAAAAAACATTAAAGGTATGAAACTAGACCTTGATCTTACAAAGACTTTCACGGCTGCTTAGTTTTATGCACATGGTTGATCCCACTGAAGTCAAGTTCCACAATAGCCCTACTCACTTCCGTGAAGTCAAGCATCGTCTCCCAGTTCTACAGGCCTGGGTCCTACGACAATCGGCAGAATTCTTTTTTGGGGTTGTAAAACATCCTAAAAGGAGAACTGGCACATCTGTCCTTACTAACAAGCCTGAGCCCACTGCTCTGTTTCTGTATTTTTAAGGCAAGCTAAGAAACCCTTAACTATCATTGCCTTTGCTCCCTGGGGCATCCTAATGCGACAGGTATTAGACACTGCACTTGTATAAACAATAAAGGGTTCTTGTTCAAAGTGGTAGCTGTAAGGTACATTAAACTCCTGAAGAACTAGTTTGAGCCCTGGTTAATTTATTTCAGAAGATTATATATAATTATTTCCATCTTCCCCACCCCGCCTTTTCACTTTTGCTCTCTTACCTAAATTGCACTTTCCTTTTTCCAGCTCATACCCAAGAGGACACTGACAGATGTAGGAGCCATGGGTGTTGTTGCATGTGGCCAGCGCAGGACAAGGATTGGAAAGACATTCATCCACATCTACAGAAGGGGAAAAAAAAGGTCACGGCCTGTAGTTACAGAGCCACAAAAATCACCAACTGCTGGGCTAAAAAAAAATCAACCTGGCTCCTCTTCTGTGACCCTCTGAGCATTATCAGATGATTCATTGCATCATTTGCACTTACTGTTTATCCTGTTCTTAATTATTTTGTTGGAGCTGAAAGAATAAATATAAAACACTTTCTCCTGAATATTCATTCCAAAGCTCTTGGGACCCATGTTAATATTAACACCCAGCTCATCTACAGCATTGCTCATCTGCAGATCTCAAAGTGCTTTTCAAAGATAAACAACATTACAGTTATGCATGAAGGGACAGATGAAGTGACCTTGACAGCCAGAGCCTGACACACAGCCAGGGCTCCTAATGCTCCTAGTCCCAAGTTCTGCCCTTTTGGTCCAAGCCCTTTTTTGCCATGAACTAAAGCTATCGATGGATCGAGCCATCTGATGCAGTCTGTAGATTCCCTAGGTGAGGTGTAGGCAGCCCTGGCTGCTATCGCCTCCTTTCCCTGAGCCTGTGACACTGCTAGTAATGCGCTTTCCATCGTGTGAATGGGGGTTTGGGGAGCAAACAGTAACTGTGAAATCAGGTATTTCAGGGGATTAATGATGGTGATTTCAGATGCTCCATGTATTAGACAACTCAAACTACAAAATCTCCTGCAGAAGATATCTAGTACTTCCCCTTAAAAAATAAACAAATGATCCTGTCCTGGTCGAAAATGCCTCTCCTGCTGTGCATATGACTCACAGCACGCATGCCTGTAAGGTCAGCTTTGTGGGCTTGTCCGGGACAAGGCACTACATGGCACACAAGCCACCTTGCATGCCACTCAGATCTGTTTTGCTGCTTCTGCTGGGGACTCTGATGGAGGCAGGAAGGACGGGTTTTGTGGTTAAAGCACAAAACACGAGAGCGTGCTATTTCTGACGATGCTACAACAGCCTGTGGCATGAGGCAGGCCATACAGACCCAAGCTGATCTCTGCTTTAGGGTTCCCAATTTGAGGTAATCTCCATGTTTTGAGCGGTCTGGCAGGGCAACCAGCAAGAAGACAATTTGATGTCTCTGATCTAAGCAGCGAGAAATGAGTGGGCATATTTTAAAATGTTGGCTTGCCCTTCTTCATGCTTCAGTTTGTTGTTTTTTTACAGCTGGGACACCAGCAGCCTCCTCCCTTACAGCAGTTAGAGCTTTATACTTCACTAAGTCAGGCACAGGGGGAATGGTAAAAATGTTAACAAATATTCTTTGCTTTTCTCCCCCAGAATCTGGAAGTCTGGCAGCAGTCTCTTCCCCGGCTTTCACAACCGTGATGTCAGCACGGGACTATTCTACAGCTCATATTTATTCTACTGCTCTGACAGTGGGACTACAGCACGAGAAAGGCAAACCAGCCAGGGTAATCGTTTCATTAGCATCTGTAAGGCGATCTGGAAGAGGTTGCAGAGCTGCGAAACCTTATTAAACCCCAAATACAAAGCCTTACATCCAAGAGAGCAGACAGATCTTTTTCTTTATGGTAAGTGGCAAAACCTGATATTTGAAAGAAAGCGTAACTTGGCAAAAGCGTGACTCAGACAGTAAAAAGGCTATACTCCATTATTTTTTGATTAAAAAACCCATTCACCTATAGTGAATTGTTTGTATGAAGCCACAGCTGTAATTAAAACCAATCAACCTGAGAAATAACCTTTTAAATACTTAGTTATTGCATGCAGCATACACTTTTATCAGTATTTCATGACAGTAATGCAATTAGTACACACAATATCCTACAGTGGCATTAGGGTCAGGTTTCTGAACTTTAAGTACAGAATCAATTTCCATTCATATAAAATGTAGCTTAATGTATTTACTCGAGAAGATAAGGAGCCTGGTAGCAGTAATAAATGAAACCCTTTATTCGTCCACAGGGCTTTTTGCCATCTACACTCCTTCCAATATACTGCAGTTAACCACAACTACCTTTTTCTAAGCTCCTCTCTGCTCCGAAGGATGCGAGTCACCATCCCAGCTCACCCCTCAAGGGAATTCCCCCTTGGCCAAGCGTGAAGACATCTGCTTTTGCAAAGCTATGCGTTCCGGTTTTACAGGGTGAAGAATTTGCCCAAGTATAACCATTCCAGTTTCTAATATCAGTACAGATTCAAGGAATGCTCTTGAACTACAAAGTAATCAAAAAAGCAAATCTGAAACACTTGCTTAGCACATTTCTCAGCTTTTCTTCCATAGCTGTGGTTGCACCAATATACTCAGCAAGACTGTGGTATGTAACCTAATAGAAGAAGTGATGAGGCCTTTACAAGGAGATTATTTAGTGAGACGGGGAGAAAACGATCATAGGTCGTAATAACAGAAGAAGTTCCAACGCAAATACCAAGCACTGGCCAACCGCCTTTTCTCATGAAGAAATACTTATTGATCTGTTTTTCAAGATAAATGTAAAGATTGTGCATCCTAAGCTTACCTGAAAGCTGTTCAGCTTTTATTTTCATTTTCCCAAATTTCAGCTTTGCTTTCATCAAAAATGCCCACCAAAACTTGGGCTTTTTCAAGCAGTTCTGCATAATTACTAAATCCTTATCGTAAAAATACCAAGAACAAAGACCAAGTTCTTGTCCTTCAATCCTGCTGACAACAGACTTGTTTGCTACATAACCTTCCAAAGACCATTCAGGTGGGATCCACCTGCTCCCGGCCCCCACGTCCCAGTCCCAATGCTGATGAGTGCCACTAGAAATGGTACCTGCTACAGGCGATGACGTCCTCAGCACTGCTGTGCTACTCAACAGAGGGACAGTCGTTGGTTTGGTAGCAGCGGCCAAAGTAGTTGCAACGCTTACAGTGGTCTTGGTGGATGGAGGTGCCTCAGGAGGACTTGTAACCGGGATGTTTTCCTCGGTGACTTTACCAGTATTTGAAGTGCTAGGAGCCACAGCTTCTGTACTTTCACCAGTGGCATAAACTGTTTTAGTGGCAGCAGGCGTTTGAGGTCTGTGGGCTTTTGTAGTGCTAGGATGAGCCAGGGTTGGTCTGCCAACTGCAGGTGTTGTCAGCACAGCAGGTTTCTCTGTAGTCAGTGCCACCACAGGGGGGACAACGCTTTGGTTTGTTGTGCTCGGTAAGGCACCGTGGGGTGCTTCTGTTGTCCCAGGACGCGGGGTATCGCCAGCTGTGGTGTGCAGCGGCGTTGTGTTTCCAAAGCTGCCCCCCTTGGGAGAAGTAACCCTTGGTGAAGGGCTCTCAGTTACCTGCACAGAAGCAGATACGGATACAGCGCGGCTGCTGAGCTGCTCCATGGGCTCTGTGGGAAGAGGAGGAGACCCTGCAGAGACAAAGACAGTGCTGTTTTGGGGCTGGTGCGTTCCGCTGGACTTGCTGGTCTCTCTGGGTGAGCTCCCAACGATGGCAGCTGTAGAGGGTTCCTGTCTGACTTCAGTGGTGGCTACAGAGGTGCTTGCTTGACCACTGTCGTTGGACTGTGACACGGAAGATGATGAAGAAAACAGAGGTAATAAAGATGTTAACGAATAAGATGAGGAAAGCAATGAGGAAGTGGGTACAGCGGTTGACAAAGCCTGTAGAGGGGGCGACGATGGCATCGCAGAGGAAGACAGCAGCTTGGAAGACTCTGATGATGCAAACAGATAAGTTGGTGACGGTGTTGACGACAGTGAGCGATGCAGCGACGACACTGAGGAAGAGGACGGAAATGCTGATGCAGATAGAGATGATCTGCCAGTAGGCAACAACTCAGAGTCAGTATCGAAGATGGTCGTATTTTGTACGCTGCCTGTGGAAGCAGAGGTCAATGGTTTGGAAGAATGTACTAGCAAAGGCTCAGTAGACGGTTCAATAAAACTGCCGTCGCTGGAGACATTGCTTCTTCTGTCCTGGGTCACAGAAGAAGATTGAGATGAATCAGAAGGGCTGGAAATTTCTGAAAAAAAAGTGGAACTTTCCGAGGAGTCAGCAGAGGTGCTACTATTTGATATAGACAGGAGAGTCCTTTCTCCGCCTCTGGTGTACGTGGTTGAAATGTATGTGCCGTCTGTGTGAGAAACAGAGGTCCTTTTCTCAGTATCAACGCTACTGACTGGCTGATGGCTACTTGGAAAGCCTGGAGTAAAAGGACAACATACATTAGAAAGACAGCATAATATGAAACTATTTTGACTTCCTATTAAAGTTACTTGCTAAATACATAAAATGTTCTTGTCTGTGAACTGGCCCACACTCCTCACCAACCAGTAATGCAGTGACCCAAAACTAGAATTTCGAGCACCGTCCAAGCGTGCCTATCGAATCAGGAGTCTTCTGCGTTCCTTAATTCATTCTAAAATGTTGAAATCTTACAGACATGAGGTTACAGACGTGTGATTCCCGTGGAAAGCGGGAGGAAAGGTTTCTAAAAAACTCTTCTTCCAGTCTTGCTTTTTTTGAGCACTTGCTGTTCTGTGAAATTTTGTGGCAGGCTAAGCAGGAAAACCCATCTGTTCTCTTTATCTGTCATGATTTAGAAAACTCATATCCTCTACCTCTCAGTCTCCATTCCATACTAAAGAATATTCATCTTCTTATGTCAATTTGTTTCTAGACACAGTAAACTGCAGGCCTCTGTAGGATGAAATTATTATGTTAACGTGTAGCTTATCATGAACTCATTGATCAAAAGCTTTGCCGGCAGGAAATCTTAAATGAATAGCCCATAACTTTGCAAATATTCAGATTATTCAGCATTAAAGGTGCAGTCAATCTTATGAGATGAATTTCAGGATTTATGGATAACTTCAGGAATCTCAAAAATACAGAATAGGATCTTCACAATTCAAAATTTGATTTAATTCTACAACTGACTTAGGTCAGCATGAAACACTTCTGAAAATGTCTCCGACAACAAATTAGCTAGGATGCAGACAAACACTGTGACCAAGAAAGCAAGACAACTTCCTCGCTAGTGAATCAAGAACCTGCTTCAGTGTTTAGGATCGTGGTTTCACTTCTGGAACGATTACCCTGACAGATGGAGTCTGGCTTTGCTTCTGCTATTTGCAACAGCACTCAGATATATGAAAGCATCCCCCCGAGTGCACCCACAGATGATACTTCACATACTAGTGAATGCCGGTTTGCATATAACATACATAAATGCAGGATAACGTGGACTTTCTCTCTTTCCCCCAAACTACATGCACCCAAACCTACTAACTTACTTGAGAGATCGTTTTGGAAAGAAGAATAAGTCGGTATCTTGGAAGAATGCGTAAACAGTGCCTCAGTCGCAAAGCCAGTGACGCCCATGCTGCTCGCTGAGGTATTAGCAGTCCTGCTCTGCTCCATGGACACTGAGCGAATCACTTCAGAGGAATGAGCAATTTCCGCGTGCAATGTGGAGCTCTCTGTGCCACGGGTCAGCGTGTCATTTGTCACAGATCGCAACATCCTCTCTCCACCTCCAGTTACTGTGGCCGAACTGTTCATAGGGTCAGTATAAGCACTGGAAATCCTTTTTTCTGTACTTGAGCTGCTCCGTGAGTGATGGCTACTTCCAGTGGCTGAAAAGGGATCAGAAAAGTGGGCGCTCAGTTTTATCATCTCCGGTCCTGGTGTACTTGTGAGCTCTACAATGATTCTATTTTGAAATATAGATTAATAAAATTGCACAGACAAATACAGATTAAATAGATTTCACAAACCTATCATCTTAAACACAGACTTAACACACAAAGCCTTTTCCACTGAAAACTTTAGAAACAGGCCTATGTACGTGTACAGGGACAATGAGTATCATCAGAGTCATAATGACACATTTTATTTATGATTATTACCCCATCCAGTCAAGTAGCAGACATCTCCTATAGCAAGGAAACACAGCTCATATTCCTGAGACTTTAGGAATCAATACAAAACACCAATAGCTGCAAATATACAATATCAATGAGCAGAATCATCACAATTTATGAATGCTGCCTGGCAACAGCTCTAAAACGTGCTGCTGGTAACATCAAGCCCATGGAAGAAGGGGAGTGAATGTTTTTTTCTAAATCAAATAAGGTTCTGGAGTTCAGAAAAACTCACTGGAAGGTTCACGTGGGGCAGAGAAGTAGGTGGAGGCCCTGGATGAAAGTGTGACCTCGACTCCGGGCTCGGTATAACCTGCATCGCTTGACGGGACGGGTCCTCCTCCAGGCCATGCTGTTGCGGATGGGAAGGGTCTGGAGCGTGACTCCCTGATGTCTGGGTTGAAAGTGGAGCTTTCTGTCACCTCACTCCACGTGCTGTGGTTAATTGGAGCCTGAGAGGTCCCCTCTCCGTGCCTGGAGAAGGCAGTTGAGATGTACGGGCTCTCGGTGGGAAAGCTGGAAACCCTTTCTTCTCTCTCTGGAAGTGCAGAGCAGAGATATACATACATACGTATTTTTATATGCTAGTAACACCTTTGAGGCCCTAGTAGGGACTAAAATCTGAACGTTTCAATTCACGCAACTGGAGGCGGAGCTTGGTTAGTGACACCACTTATTTGTTAACTGGAGTGCTCAGGATACCTGTATTCTTAGACTTGTAAAATAAAACGGATTGGGGCACACAACTTTTCTGAAGGAGAACGGTGGCTGGGAGGTAGTACTTGGTCTTGAATATCCAGCAGAAAATTGCCTTGGACGTATCAGTAGGCTTTCACACTAACTTTTGTGGACATGGATCCGGAGGGTGGGATCCTGAAAGCACAGCCAGGACCACGGATGCAGCAGGGAACCGATCAGCACCTCCTCCGATGGGTACCAGTGCCTCGGCTGAGGATGGGCTGGGGCAAGCCACACCAGAGGTATAGCTGCTCTGATTTTTGCTGGTTTGGCAAACACGGAACAACCAGGATAAAAGAAGCAGTGCAAAGTCTACCTATCTCTTGCCACTTCTCATGCCGAGCTCTTCTCAGTGCTAGAAAAACATCACAGCCACTTTATTTAGGACCATTAGACATGCTAGCAACCTGTTGTAAAAATGAGATTGCAGATCTCTTTGGGTGAAATTTTGTAATTCGGTAAGAGTCAGGAACTGGAATCCCAGAGAAACAGCAGGTGGGGCTAGAGAAAGAGGTGAAATATAAGTAGCCTTGGCACGAGCCATCCCCAGTCTTGTCACCGAGGGCCTTGGCATCCACCTGTGAGTCCCACCAGGTTACAGCTTTCTCCAGGGGCTGTCCCATTCACTGCAAAGGGACTAGATGAAGGGCAGGGAATGCAGGATACGCGTGGCGTGGCTTACTCGGACAGAGAGGGAAAAAGGTAGCATTTCAAAGGTGGGGAAAGAAGGAGGAGGGGTGCCCTTTGCAGCAGCAGCAAAGCGGGGAGTCACAACCTACCAGAAGTATCTGGTGAAGATGAAGACATTGAAGCACTGGAAGAAAATATAGGCAGTGGCTGCGTTGAAAGCTCACTGAATTCATCATCACTCTGTGAAATACTATGCTGCCTTCCAGCCTCCGTTACAGAAGACGACAGATGGATCGGATCCAAGGATGTGCTGCTTTCAGCAGCACCGGTCGCTACTGCGCTGATGTTGGCTACAGGCTCCATGGTCCTTTCCACACCTCTGGTAGCTGTCACTGCGCTGGGCGCGCTGGTGAAAGGAGGGTCAGACTTGTTTTTTTCTGTAGGTGAGATAATAGTTCCTTTGGCTGAAAAAGGATAAAGCAAAACAGATTTATACATATTAAACTATAAACACATGGGTACATTCTCCTCCAACACCACCCGTAGGCAAACAGTATGTGTACAGATATAACGCATGAGAAGATTTAAATCTGGAGAAAATGCTAATTGTGAAGACGCAACCCTTTTCCATTCAAGAACATACGAATTATTGCTCACAGAGTGATACCCTGAAGAGGGCACTAAAAACAAAACGTGGAACCGATGTCTTGTTTGCTTCCCTTCATTGCTGCACTCCCCGGCTCTGCATTCCAGACTGCTGGCACTCGCAAACACCAGAACAACTATAGAAATGCCTGGAATTAAACTAGGTGGGGTTACAGTGGTGAGTAACTTAGAGAGATTTAAACAAAGCATGCCTGGGTTCTGCATTTGTTTTCCAGGGTGGGAGTCAGGAACGACTAGCGTTGCCTTCCCGCTCTTATAAACACAGCACGATTTCAAGACAGTCCTCTTGGCTATCTTGGAAAACAACAGATCTCAAGGCCAGACTGCTCTTGCAGTAAAACTGGTTTTCTTTGGTGAACAAAGGCAAAAGCCAACTAATCTATAGGGATATTTTTCACTGAAGGCTGATTTCATTCCATGTCGTTCAATATCATTGTCTAGCATCTTCTAACATCCTGCTTGTCCCTCCACATAGAGCTGATATGTGAGATCCATGGGCATGAGCCCTACGGGGACCATCAGAGCTCACCTGGGAAAGTGCTTTCTGAAGAAGGCTCAGAGTCCGTCAGCAACGGGTCCATGAACGGTGCGGTGGCACCTGTGCCTCCACCAGCCTCTGCTGCCAAAGACGTCCCAGAGGACTGGGTCTGATCCAAAGGGCGGATCGTTTCGCTACTGGAGGTGGAAATCTCTGTTGCATCGGTCAGGCTGGTGCTGCTTGGTAGCGACCTAAACGTCCTTCCTCCGCCTCTGGTGGATGGTGTCGAAACGTACGTATTGGTGGTAGGAAAATCAGTTCTTTTCTCTGTTGATAGGACGCTAAATGACACATGGCTGCTTCTAGTAGCTACATGATAAAGAAAAATTTATACATGTGAAACTATAAATAAACAGATGAGCTTTCTTCAGCAACATCCAGAGGCAGAGCATATGTATACAGATAGGAAATATGAGAAGATGTCAATCCAGAGAAAATAGGAAATTTGCAAAGATGTGATCCTTTCTACAGAAAATTGTCTTGTAAAATGCATGGTTTGATGCCAAGAAAAGTGTAATTATATAAAAATCTATGGAACTACTTTGCTGCGCACTTAATTTCACTGTTATGTGGCTGACTGCGCTCCATGCTGCTAGAACAAATAAATATTGCAGCACTTCAGAAAAGCCTGGAATTCTGTTCAGCTGAGGTGCAACGCTGAGCGGTGCAGAGGTCTTAGAAAACATATCAAATTTGAAGAAATGGGATTAGTGGGGATCAGACTCCCCCAGCACCACAAGGACCACAAGCTCTGCATGGAGAATCTCAGACAATACATTCAAAGTTGTCTTAAATTTGTTGATCTGACTAAATTTACGGGAAGCAGCATGGTCTGAGGGGTTCAACACAGGGCAGGAACTTAAAGGAACTGAAGTCAAGTCCCCGTCAGTGCAGGGACATGATTTAATCCTCACTTGCTTATTTCCCTTGTCTATAAATACAGATAGCAATTTGAGATAGTAAAAAAAGATTTGTGATTTGAAAGTAAATTATTTTTCTTGGCTTAATGAGACTTTTCATAGAAGATGTGCCCTTTCTGTAAAACCCAATCCAAACATTTTCCTCAAGAAACAGCTGAAATATTTCAGACACAAAAATCACATCACATTTTCCTAACAGCTTATACCAAACAGCAGTAACATGTTTTGAGATCTACGGAGAAGAGTCAGGTAAGTGGAAAATAAAATAACAGTCCTCCTCTTATTTACAATAAAAGTGGTATCTCATTTGTAACTTGAGCTCACCTGTGGAAGGCATTTCTGAAGAAGAGTAAGAATGTGTTAGCGAAGGGTCTGCCAAAGGTTCAGTGACATCTGTGATTTCTCTCAACCTGTTAACTCCGTAGGTCTCTCTTATGGAAGACACAGGTGAGGATCGGCTGGTACCTACGGCCCTGGACACGCCACTGCCAGAAGTAGAGTCTTCTGCTGCCCATCTGCTGCTGTTTGCTACGGACCTCAGTGTCCTTCCTCCCGTGCCGGTGGCTGTGGCTGAAACGTATGCGCTGGTGGTAGAGGAATCGGCAGCTCTTTTCTCTGTAGCTGAGCTGTTAGTTGGTCGGTAGCTGCTTCTGATGCCTAAGATATAATAAAACCAGATTAGATTTATGCATGTAAAGTCATACGATGATGGATGGTCTCTTTTAAACAATGCACAATTTGGGACATGGTTTGTTCAGATACTGAATCGAGGAAGTTTTCAACCTGGAGGAGGTGCTGCTTTGGGAAGGTGTGAATCCTTTCTGCTTAGGCACATATGCTTTATAAAAAGCTATGAAAATCACAGCTAAAAAAAAGAAAAGTGGAAATAATTTACAGTGAAGATGTGCACAACACCTTATTTATGCATTTAAGCTGTCTTAGAGCCTGTTTAAATTAGGAGCCTATCCCTTTCAGTTCAGGGCACCAGAGGACGATCCAAAAAAGGGATCTTTAGGTTCTTTTGAAACCTCAAAGTGCTCAGCTTGGCCCGACCACGCAGGCCTACGACATCCCAGGAGGCAGCAAATCCCAGCTGCTGCCCACAGGGACACGATGCACATGGGCCAGATAGCAGCCTCACATGCTCAGAGACGTCCCTGGCACACTAGGATGGTATTTTTCCCCAATTTATCCCATTTATAGCCAGGCAAGTTTGTCAAGTTAGGGGAGAACCCAAGGGCCATGCAGCGCTGAGGATGCTGAGCTCTGACTCGCTCGCCTGGAGCGAGTGCTGCACTGTGATTCACCTGTGAGGACTTAATTGTGAATTAAGTGTGAGTGGCGGGGCACAAATCAATGGCTGCTTTTCTCGCCATGGGAAATTTCATTAGTGAGCTAGAACACCAGTATATTTCAGATTTTCAACCAAAGGTTGAAATCCCCTCCAACCCTTCTCCTCGAATCCCCACGCCAGCTAGATGCAATCAGTAATAACAATACCCATATTTACAACAGCACTGTGGGAATGCAAAATCCAGCTCAACCCCAGAAGGGCTTCCTTTTAGCCTAACAAATTTACCTGTGAAAGCACCTTCCGAGGCAGAGGGTGACCTTGTGAGCACTGGGTCTGTGGCAGGCTCTGTGGCACTCATGGCACCCTGCAAGCCACCCACACCAGGCGTCCGAGCTGCAGCGGAGGACAAGGGCTTGCCTGAGGAGCCCGGCGCATCAGCGCTGGAGGTGGATCTGGGGAAGCTGCTGCTGGCCAGAGACCCCACTGTCTTCTCCGCGGCGCTGGTGCGTGGCGCCAGAGGCACAGCAGCGGTGCTGGTGGCAGAGTGCAAAGTCCCCTCTTCTGCAGTCGAGATGCTCTTTGCTTCATAAGTGCTTCCAAAGGCTAAAAAAGGATACAAAAAAAGGAGAAATAAAAAAGGGAGAAATAAAGCTGCTGTATGTAAACTAAAACAGCTGAGTAAGCTTCATCCCGGTATCAGTTAATGTAGATAACATATGCACGAATATTCAATACCGAAATATTTACTACTGAGAAATCATTAAGAGTGAAACAAAAAAGGACTCTACATAGGAACTCCTGAAGCTATTGCTTGCAAAATACTGAAAGTTTTCAACAAAAATCTCTCCTCCTTTCCAACAAGAATAATATTTATCCATACTTTCATTTCTGTGAAATGTTTTTAAACGTACGGAACGTGCCAACTACAATATTATTCCTCCTTTCCTTAAAATAAAAAGGACGTATTTTGTTTATAAAGAGTTTTTAAATAATGTTCCAAGTTATAGCGCTAGCTATCAAAACTCACTTTTGGAAGCGCTTTCCAAAGTCGATGCAGAGTCCGTCAGCAACGGGTCCATGAACGGTGCGGTGGCACCTGTGCCTCCACCAGCCTCTGCTGCCAAAGACGTCCCAGAGGACTGGGTCTGATCCAAAGGGCGGATCGTTTCGCTACTGGAGGTGGAAATCTCTGTTGCATCGGTCAGGCTGGTGCTGCTTGGTAGCGACCTAAACGTCCTTCCTCCGCCTCTGGTGGATGGTGTTGGAACGTACGTACTGGTGGTAGGAAAATGAGACATTCCCTCCTCTGCTGCTGCGAAGTTGGATGGCTGGTAGCTGCTTCCAATGGCTAAGACACAAGAAAAGAATTGGATATATATGTACGAAATTATAACCAGATGGACCCAGTTTCTTCCCAGATGCTTACAGTGCACGTATGGATATTAAGCAGAGGAAGTTTTCAATCTAGACAAAGTGCTGTTTTGGAGAGGCACGAATCCCTTCTGTTCAGGAAGACCTGAGTTACTGCTTGCAAAGAATAGTGGTGTGGCTTGCCGCCTTGGAAGTGCAGTGAAGAAAGCGCTGTCCACCCACTCGGGGGCTTTGTGCTCTGCGCTCCCGGCACTTTCGGGAACGGCAAACCTATGCAAGTAAGGCTGGGGAGAACCATGGCCAGATTCACTGGACAAGGACTGTGGGGATTTGACTTTAAATCTCCCCTTTGCTGTAAGACTGGTGCAACCAGCCCA